AGGTGCCGGGCGTAAGTTTAAGCCCCTGGTTCCGGGACTCGAACCATGGTTGACTACATGGGAGTCCTGCAGCATAGCCATTACGCCACCTGCTGGTCCCGGTGATCTCTTACTTTACTTCTTTCTCTCCCTGTCTCCAGCAAGCACATGTGGCCCCTATAGCACAACCAAAAAGAGAAAAAGTATTGCATAAATGTCAGGGGGCATGATCGTTGTTATCGTCTCTGTGCCTAGAGAGGTGCCGAGGGTGGGGCGGGAGAGGATGCCTCATTTAGTAAGGAGCCTGGACGGCCTGATCCCTGAGAAGGCACAGAGTTCGACATGGGCCTGCTCTGCCGCTCTCCCCCACAGCCACCATCCGGGAGCGGCCCAGCTCTGCCATCTACCCCTCCGACAGCTTCCGGCAGTCCCTCCTGGGCTCCCGCCGTGGCCGCACCTCCCTGTCTTTAGCCAAGAGTGTTTCCACCACCAACATTGCTGGGTGAGCCTCTGCTTGGGGAAGGGGCATGGGGAGCCAGGCAGGCCAGAGGGTGTGGCAGTGCAGACCGAGAAGGGCTGAGAGGTCCCTTTCCATCCCCGAGTGCAGAGCTGTGACAGATAAGAACATAGGGTAATGGCTCTGGGACCCTAGCCTTGGAGAAGGGGTCTCTTGCCCAGGCAGGGTGGTGTAGACAGCTTCGCCTTCCTGCAGACATTTCAACGATGAGTCTCCCCTGGGGCTGCGCCGGATCCTGTCTCAGTCCACAGACTCTCTCAACATGCGGAACCGGACCCTGTCGGTGGAATCGCTCATTGATGAAGGTCAGCACGGCCGGGTCTGGGGAGGCTGGGGCAGCCCTGGGAAGCTGAAGAGTGCAGGGAGTGAGCAGCTGGTGGGGCAGCCTGGGAGGGTGTAGAGAGGGGCCTGGACCCAGGAAGGGGCTTGGCTCCAAGCTGCTCCCCGGTGCATGCCCAGGTGCAGAGGTGATCTACAACGAGCTGATGAGTGACTTCGAGATGGATGAGAAGGACTTTGCAGCCGACTCCTGGAGCCTCGCTGTGGATAGCAGCTTCCTGCAGCAGCACAAGAAGGAGGTGATGAAGCAGCAGGATGTCATCTACGGTGAGCCAAGGCCCTCCCCGCCCCGTCTCCCCTTCCTTCACGGTCCTGCTCACCGTGTCCTTCCTTCTGCCGGCCTCCAAGACCCTGCTGGGCACCCCCTCCAGGCGCTCTAGGCCCCTGCCTCTCAGTGCTGTTGGTCCCCAAGGCCTTATCCTTATCCCTTCAGCTCAGACTGCAGTCTTTTTTTTTTTTTTTTTGAGAGGTTTTTGCTATAGGGTGCGTGCGCTCACCAGACAGACAGAGAGACAGAGAGACAGAGAGCAGGAAATCACCCCCCAAGGGGGATGGTCACACCGCAATCCCTTCTCCTCCATTGTCCTCTCGGGATCTTGGGCACGCACACACATGCGCCCGGCGTGAGTTTTAAGCCACCGGGTCCGGGACTCGCACCGCGATTGACTACGTGGGAGTCCAGCGACATAGCCATTATGCTAACTGCTGGCCCCCAGCCTGCAGTCTTGACGCTGCCTGTTCCATGCCCAACACCGTGCCGGAGACTGTGGGAAACCTGGGCATGGGGAGGACGCGTGGTTCTGGCCTCCAAACAGCTCACAGCTCGAGAAGACAAGACATAAGATAAAAAAATTATTAGTGGGGACCAGCAGATTATATAATGGTTATGTCGCTGGACTCGCACATAGTCAACCACGGTTTAAGTACCGGACCTGGTGGCTTAAAACTCACTCTGGGTTGAGACTAGCAGGTGGCGTAATGGTTACATCCTTGGACTCCCACAGAGTTGACCATGGTTCGAGTCCCAGACCTGGTGGCTTTAAACTCAGGCTGGGCATGTGTGCGTGCTTGCCCAGGATCCCAAGAGGAGAACGGAGAAGGGATTGCACGTGGCCATCCTCCTTGGGGGGTGGTTTCTCATTTTTTGTCTCTCTGTTTCTCTCTGTCTTTCCAGTGAGTGCACATGCCCTATAGCAAAAAAAAAAATCTCTATTAAAAAACAAAACAAAACAAAAATAACTCACACTGGGTGTGTGTATGTGTGCATGCCCAAAATTCCAAGAAGAGACTAGAGGAGAAGGGATTGTAGCATGGCCATCACCCCCAGGGGATGATTTCTCACTTTCTGTCTCTGTCTCTTGGCAAGTGCACATGCCCTGTAGCAAAAATATCTCTTTAAAAATTATTAGAAAATTACCTAAGGGGATTGGAACCAGCAGTTGGCATAATAGCTATGTCACTGGGGTCCCATGTAGTTGACCATGGTTCGAGTCCCCGGACCCAGTGACTTAAACTCATGCCGGGTACATGTGTGTGTGTGTGCCCAAGATCCCGAGAGGAGAATGGATTGTGTCATGGCCATTCCCCCTGGGGAATGATTTCTCACTTTCTGCCCCTCTGGTGAGCGCATGCGTCCTATAGCAAAAACCTCTCCAAAAAAAAAAAAAGAAAGAAAATTACCTAAGGAGGTGGCCTCATGGCCTAGTGGTTAAGGGAGCTGAATCCCAGATGACCAACTTCATGAGTCCTGGCCCTGTTGGGTTGAAAAACATGCTAGGTGCACGTATGCCCCAAGCCCCAGTAGAACAGGGAAATGTCGGGAAAAGGATTGCAGCATGACCACACCCCATTAGGGAGTGCTTTCTCCCCCTCCCTCGTTTTCTGTCTCTCTGGTGAGCATTCGCGCCCTTTGGCAATTGAAAACCAAAAACGAAAGAAAATGATCTCAGATCATGGTCATGCAGAACGTTAATATGGAAGAGACTTCAGAAGTACCCTCTGAGTCCCGAGTTCCCCACCAATCGCAGCCAAGCCAGGGTGGAGACCAGACGTCTCATTGTCCACCCAGAGCTAATCCAGACGGAGCTGCACCACGTGAGGACGCTGAAGATCATGACCCGCCTGTTCCGCACGGGGATGCTGGAGGAGCTTCAGCTGGAGCCGGGA